CATTAACTTGGATTCAACGTATTTATCACGATTTTATTGATATATTTATTGTATATTTCGAATTTAATTGATAATGCCGTGTATTTGTATGTAAGTACATCGGGCCGTATTGTGGGGGTCTTAATAAATCGATCTAGTGCAAGGACATACATTCAGTGGATCATAGTAAGCTTTTACAAATCAATTCTAGAAGTATCAAGGTATCTGAAAAGTGCTGTGATCCTGATGAAATCTTGACAATAATTTAAGTATATCAATATTTCATGGCGTTGACCAGCAAAATATACAGCATTCGGTCATACAAATAGGATTTTACCAATGAAATTGCAGAATCTATATAGGATCGCACCACGTTTCAAAATCTCCAATACTTGATGAAAATATTAATAAACTTAAGTTAGAATTTTACCTTGCTAGTGAAATTTATAGGTAACCTCAATACTGCAAGTAAATGTGCTAAAATCAAGTGACCGCAGCATCACATGACAAGTCTTTATATAAAATCTAATTGTCCTCAATATATAGTTATTGACCATAATACCAATTATCCGATATAAAAAAAAGTACTAAAAATAACCGCCTCTCCGATTAATAATGAATTTCAATTATTAAATATTGTGGATATTTCTATGCGCACCTTAACTGTACTGCATATCAAAAAGGTGTTGCAATATTCCTTCTAGAGTGTATGGAGGGTTATAGTGGCAGTAGCTGTGACCAACCGTGTAGCTACCCTACTTATGGAAAGGATTGTCTGTCAACATGCAATTGTGAGGAAGAGTACTGTAATCATAGCACTGGATGTAAAGGTATGGTGTTATCCAAATTGTTGGAAATACAAGTCCAAAACTCATGTATGTGTAACAGATAACCCGCATTCACCTGATTCGAAACTCATTTTGGTTAATATAAAACTGTCTTAAATGATAATCATTCCTAATTTTCTAACTAATATAGAAGCAAAAAAAAAAATCATTTTTTTAGATTTAGTCTCAAAATTCTAGCGGTGTATGCAGTCAAATTACATAACTGGCATTAGCGCTTTATAAACTTTTTTTCCACCAACAGATGCAATTATGAGACTATTTCTTTCAAAAAATAATGATTCATTGCTTATATTAACATTTTTAACAGTCTTTTTTTTTTTACTGTAGACCTCATTTATACTTCCATGTCCATGTATAATCCTTGGGGTAAGTAACATGTATTGAAAGAAACAATGTATCAACTTCTGCTTCTTGTCAATGTTAGCAAGATTTGATTTATTTTAGCTTCTGGCGTTACATTTCCTCGATGTTCATCGTTTGTGACGACAAATTAAAACACATGTTTTACAATATATGTAACCTTTTGAATCCCTTTTCGTGTCATGCCGATTTGAGTGTAATAGATTTCCTCTCATTTATACGCAAAACACATGTGAAATGTAAATAGAAAATACTTAAATTCGAAAAAAAAAGATTACAAAGTCTGCTATTGCAAGCAATAGCTTATGTCGCCCCGAAGTAGACAAGACATTCATTTTTTTCATCACTAAAACAATACCTATTGGGTAAGCTTGGAAAACCATCAACTCGTATCAGTCCTTCCAGTATTTTCAGTACTTTGATTTAAAAATCAAACAAAAAGAATATACACTTTTACCCAGTTTCCATGAAAACTATTGACAATTTCCAATTTTTAAATGCAACACGCACAATTACAGATACTAATCATTTAATCAGTGAAGTTTCATGACGAATGTCCAAGGGACCAGAGAGAACACTCGTGGACAAAATTCGTCGCTTTTTTAGGTTTCCATGGCAACGGTAGCTATTTTGAAACTGAATGATCACATGGCACAACTACAACCAGTGATCATCCTTTGAGAAAAGTTTCAGGAAGATTGTCCCAGACATCTCCGAGAAACCGCTTGTATAACAAAACATGCGTACAATCGCAATATGTCATCCCCGACTTCAATAGGGGTGACATAATTATCTCTTATCTGATAACAAGTCGATAAATTTTCCGTAAAGAGTGTATGAAGAATGGCAGTAACTGTGACCAACCGTTTAGATACCTTACTTATGGAAAGGATTGTCTGTCAATGTGTAAATTTGATGAACAATACTGCAATCATAGCTCTGGATGTAAAGGTATGACATTATCAATTTGAAAGTGATTGGCAATACATTTTTTTTGAAATATCAATTGTAGTCCCTTGCAGTTGGAAACTAAATGTTTGATGTATCTATTCTTGTTTTACTTAAAAACGAATATCAGGTTAATGTCTGAAATTCTTTTTGCGACATCTTCTTTGGCTTTAAACATGATTATATCCATAGATAAAGATCTTAAATACAATTTAAAACACTCTTTCTCATTAATGTTCATATTACTGTTAATGAATTTTGATTTATTGAACAGAGAACTATCTTTTTTAGAATATCATTTCTTTCGTTTTTATTTCATGAGGATACATGTACATTTAAATTTGATAAAATTCAATACAGAGAAATGCATTTCTGGCCAATACATGCTTCAACGCAGGTAGGTTAAGGTTACAACCAAATATTCTACTTGCCTATATGATATGACGTCATAGTAAGCTATATGACGTGAGGTTTAGAGATAACAATTTCTTATAATCGATATCTAAGATTGATTTGAGGTCGTAAAAATTAATCAAAATATGCAAAGGCATAATATAAACGGAATTTTGTCGTTTCTGGGTCTCTGTAGTTATTTAAATACCAAAACGTCATAACTGTTGATCATGCAGTAGCAGAGTGAAAGTGAAACGTAACGAGAATTCATGTAAACAAACACAAGAAATCGGAGTTTAAAAGCATTTAGAATGAATATCATGTGTGGTTCATGTGGGAACAAAGCTTATGAATAAGGTATGGTAATATACTTCTACAATTTCTTCGCAGCCTTTCCTCTGTCATTCGTAACAAATAAGATGCACTACGCCGCACACTTTGAAACTTAATTGTTGTTTCTATCTAAAGTTCTTATTCTATTGTTTTTGGAAAGTGCTGCTAGAATCGTATGGTTTACGGGAATTAATGCATTTTTTTTCGATGTTATGAACAAAATGTAAAAATTTTGGGAAGGTTTCGTCCGAAAGTGTTGAATAATTATTTCTGTGATAAAACAGTTGGATTCTAGCAGCACTTTTCATGGTACAAAGATGTTTTTACATAACTATCATTACAAATTGAAATTAATTATCACCAGGGTAGTGTTGAACTTTTCCCTTTTTTTATAGTATATTTTCTAATTATAGACGTCACGTACGTCAAATGTAGTATTGAATTCTATAGAATGCATAATTATAACAAAAGTTTTATCCTTGACTTTTCCGATTAATTAGTGTTACATAATTATAAAAAAAGTGTTAATTCGCCGAATTCTGGTCCATGTGCTGCCTTAACATACCCGCGAAGCAACCTTTCTATACTTATTCCCTGAACTGGTTTTAAAATACTATGGAAAATAAACATAATTTAAACAAAAAAAAAAGTGCTATAATTTTAATTCTACAAAGTATTTATGATCGAACTACAAAATATTCTTAGAATTCTCATTTGGCCACGGTCAAATGGAAGAAGCTAGATTGTACAATTTGGTCGTCAGTTCCGACAATATATCATGTATTGAGTATTGATTTGATAGTTGATTACTTGTGATGAATTAACTTCAGAAATTTACTGCATCTGCAGATTCTGAATCTTTAAAAAATTAATTCAATTAACTATTACATGTATTCAACAGGTCCAGTCCAAACACTATATCTACCTACGTAGCTATAAATAGCTACGTAGGTATTTAAACCTACCCAAAGTAGCTATCTTTAACTACTTTCTGCTTTACTCGCATTTTGTGACCAATCACACTAATAATGGATCTGACAAAAATTTGGCCAAAAAATTATAACTCCGAAACTCTTTTGGCCGCAAAGATAATACAAAAAGTAGGTAAAAATAGCTACCCTGGGAAGGTTTATATACTTCCAACTAGAAATAGTCTTTGGACTGGACCTGTTCAATTGTAAAAATGACATATTAAATCAGATGGGTTTAAATACCTTAATCACTCAGAATTTTGAGTGTTTAATGATTTGTAATACTAAATCTGTTTCACATCATCTTTATCATGTTTATATAATCTGTTTAAAAAAATTGTTCATATATACATAAATGTATCCTCTGAGTCATTTAAATTTACTCGTGATCTATTGGTTCCTTGGAAAACGACTTTTCCATTTAAAGCACACAATTTTTGCTGAAATATTCACAGGGTACACAAACAATTTCATAAACTTCATCATGTTTATTGTCCATCACGTTTCCTTGCCTACACGTTGCACACATTAGTGCTATTCTAACCAACGAAATTGCATCACAAAATGGGCATATCATCGCATCGTTAGCTGCCATGAATACCAAACAGCTGTGCTACAATAACTTTGCAAGATTTTCATTTTTATGTGTTTACTTCCAACTTCCATTACCGCTACATTGTCTTTTTTCTTAACTTCTACTTTTGCGAGGACAGATCAATTTAAAATACAACATATACAAGTGTAAGTCATATTTCCCCTACCCATCTCTAGGATTGTTTTTAATTTAGCGGTAATGAGTTGAATTT